CCATGTATAAAAATGTGAGAGGAAGCCACAGGGAGGAGGAGGGAGCAAGCTTGTTTTCTGCTTCCCTGGAGATGAGGACGCAATGGAACAACGGCTTCAAAATACAAGAGAGGAGATTCCATCTGAACATGAGGAAGAACTTCCTGATTGTGAGAGCCGTTCAGCTGTGGAACTCTCTGCCCCGGAGGGAGTGTGGTGGAGGCTCCTTCTTTGGAGGCTTTTAAACAGAGGCTGGATGGCCATCTGTCAGGGGTGCTTTGAATGCAATATTCCTGCTTCTTGGCAGAATGGGGTTGGACTGGATGATGGCCCAGGAGGTCTCTTCCAACTCTTTGATTCTAGGATTCTAGGATTCTGTGATTCCCTCCTTCCCTCTAGACATAGGCCAGAAAAGAGTTGGGCTTGAAGGCAGCACTGGAGAGAGGTGCGTCCCTTCTCTCTGCAGAGCAAGGACTCCATGGTTAGTAAGCCGTGCGTCTGCGAGTGACTTCCTGCCGCAAGGTAGGGGAACTGTCTCATGGGACCAGTCTGGCAGGTGAGGGGTTAAGCGGAAGTGTGTGGGGCCTGTGGCCAGATGGCCAGCCAACCGGGTGGTCACGGTGGCACCTGTAGACAGTGGCCCAGGCTTGAGTCATGGTCTGAGCCATTTGCGAAGTCCAGGCAGGAAGGCTACCTTGTTTTCAGGTGAGGAAGAAGACAGCAACAAGAGGGATGCCAAACACTGCTTCACTTGTGGGATGGCATGCCCTGCCTTTTGTTACCTCAGTTTCCCCTGTGCATGGTCTCCACAGCAGTGGGTCCCACTCTCATAAAAGTATCATCCTTTGGCCATAGAGTCCTACAGTTGGAAGGGACCCCCTCCAAAGGCCATCCAGTCCAACCCCATGCTATTTATTTATTTGTTTGTTTGTTTCAAACGCTTGTACCCCGCCCTTCTCAATCCCCCGGGGGGGCTCAGGGCGGCTTCCAGTTGGCAACAATTTGATGCCGCATAATAAAATACAAACAACCAATAATTATAATAGTTAAAACATTAAATCAACACACTTACAATCTACTAATTGCGTGTTGGGGACTCCTTCTTTGGAAACTTTTAAACAGAGGCTGGATGGCCATCTGTCAGGGGTGCTTTGAATGCAATATTCCTGCTTCTTGGCAGAATGGGGTTGGACTGGATGGCCCAGGAGGTCTCTTCCAACTCTTTGATTCTATGATTCTATGATTCTACTGGACTATTACCAGTCTGGTGGCCGTTATCTAGCCGAATTCTGGGATTGAGTACTCCATTTAACTTATCCACAATCCATTTCCAAGGCATTGTCAACATTGTCATGGTCATTTCCGCCTAATTACCTGAAGACCTGGTCCCACATCCACGTTTTTAACTTCTTTCTAAAGGTGAGGAGGGATGAAGATGACCTAATTTCCCCGGGGAGTGAATTCCACAGGCGAGGGGCCACCACCGAGAAGGCCCTGTCCCATGTCCCCGCCAAGCGTGTTTGAGACAGAGGTGAGGCCGAGAGCAAAGCCTCCCCAGAAGATCTTAAACTCGGAGGTGGGACGTAGAAGGAGATACATTCAGACAGGCACGCTGGACTATCACTCAAGAGCACTCCGTCCCAGTCCTCCCAACAGTCTTCAAGGGAAGCAGAGCAACGAATGAACCCACTCTCCATTTCTCACTCACCTCCACAAAGAAGGAGACCCCAAACTTGACCAGGAGCATGATCAGGATGTAAATCCTCCAGATGGTTGGGGTACAGAGCAGCTGTGGAAAAAAGAGCAAGAGGTCCCAGTCTGTCCATTTCCATGCATTTCAAAGCCAGATGTCCTGCTCCGGCATCCCTTTGGCACCAGCATGGCCACTCTTGAGCTGAACAGAATCCAGCCTTTGGCTCCAAGCAGGAAACATTGCTTTTAGCCTCAATGGAGAAAGAGTGCTCATGGCACAAATTATTGTTATTATTATTATGGAAGGGCCGTGCGGTTTCCGGGTTCCTTAGCTACTCACCATCAGCCCCTTGTAGATGGCTTCTATGTCAGCAAAGAAGAGGAACAAGCAGAGGCCCAGCTGGATGCAGAGGAAGATGGAGAAAATGTCTGCAGAATCAAAGAATGGAGAGAAGGGTCCCAGTGAGATCTACAACAAGAATAACAAGCAAGACCAAACTTGGCACACAGAGCCCCTATGACCCTCTCTACATCCTGGTGGAGTTTGAAGGAAGACAGACCATGGACGATGGGACTCGCAGTACCTTCACTAACTTCCTGAGACCACTGCGAGCCACATAAATAATGGATAAAGACCAACATTGGCACACAATGCTTTCCTCAAATAACCTGGGCACCGCCGGGTCCCCAAGCTAGTGTGTGTGTAGTGGGTGCTGCCCAGAACTCACAGTTGGTGTAGATGGGCTTCCTGAAGGGCTTCCCCTTGGAGAAGACAAAGGCCATGATGATGCAGTAGATGGTCACTAATGGCCAGAGAGAGGTATCTTCATAGCTCAGGACCGTGTCCTCCGGCTCCGTGGAGTTCCCCGTCCCATTGCCCAGGAGGAAGGGCTCATTTCCCAAAGGACAGCCCCTGCAAGAGAACCATCTCCAAGAATTATGACTTCACCTTCATTGACCAGCCTCTGCCTTGCCCTTGGATGACAGTGTTTTGCACCCGGCCAAAGGGAAGCAGTGCTTGATATGATTGATCTCGAATGGACATCCCTCCCTCTCTCCCTGCCTTTATTGGTGTCCCACTTCTTCCTCAAGACCGGGAATCAAGGTTATGAGGCCACCCCTTGATGTTGAACTGCTGTTGGTCATCTAGGCCAGGAATGGCCCTCCAGGTGTTTTGGACTTCAACTCCCACCAGCTGTTAGGAATTGTGGGAATTGAAATCCAAAACACCTGGAGGGTTGAAGTGTGCTCATGCCTGATCTAGACCCTTATGGAACACAATGAGTTGCTACGCAACATCTGTGCCACATCTGGAAATATGCTCCTCCAGCATTTTGCAGAAGAGTAGCATTGAATGGCCTGGATCAGAGACCTGGATGCCGCTGTGTAATTCTAGGGCAGCTTACAAGATAACGGCGCTCCATGCAGTCATGCCGGCCACATGACCTTGGAGGTGTCTACGGACAACGCTGGCTCTTCGACTTAGAAATGGAGATGAGCACCACACCCCAGAGTCAGACATGACTTGACTTAATGTCAGGGGACTACCTTTACCTTTTAAGCACACACAAAGAAATAAGATCACAACAAAGGTCCCTGTAAGAGTGAAAGCAGTGACTGAACTACCATAAAAGCCCAGAAAACAGGACTCAATGGAGGATAATATCCAAAGGTCAGCAAAGGTGATACTGTCCTTTGGAATCAGGGGCTGAACTGTAGGCCAGAAGATGACCTCTAGGGGACCCTAAATGAAAGAATCATAGACTCATCGAGTTGGAAGAGACCTGGTGGGCCATCCAGTGCAACCCCATTCTTCCAAGAAGCAGGACAAAGCACCCCCAACAGATGGCCATCCAGGAGCCTCCATCACACTTTGGCGTAGAGCAGTGGTTCTCAACCTGGGATCCCCAGATGTTTTTGGCCTACAACTCCCAGTTTACCAACTGTTAGGATTTCTGGGAGTTGAAGGCCAAAAACATCTGGGGACCCCAGGTTGAGATCCACTGGTGTAGAGAGTTCCACTGCTGAATAGCTCTCACAGTTAGGAAGTTCTTCCTAATGTTCAGGAGGCATCTCCTTTCCTGTAGTTGGAAGCCATTGCTCCACGTCCTAGTCTCCAGGGCAGCAGAAAACAAGCTTGTTCCCTTCTCCCTATGGTTCTTAGGAAGCAATTACTAGCCATCAGGGAAAGCTCCAAGTGGTTGCCACCTTGCTCTTCCCTTGAGCCCCTCTTCTATTGGGCTAGGACTGACCTGTGGCTGTGGATTGCGGAGTACCAGGGTTGTTGCCTGACGAAGAGGAAGGCAAAGATCTGGACGACAAGGGTGAAGCAGACGTTGAGGAAGACCGAGAGCAGCAGCGGAGGAGAGAGGAGGCGACCGGCGGGGCGGTAGGGGGCCAGTTTTGGGTAGGCCTCCGTCAGGCTCACTAAGGAAGAAAGAAGCCAGGCATCCTAGAGTTGGAAGAGAGCCCAAGAGGCCATCCATCCAGTCCAACTCCCTTCTACCAGGCAGGAAGACACAATCAAAGCACTCCTGAAAAATGGCCACCCAACCTCTGTGTAAAAATCTCCAGATAAGGAAACTCCACCATAGTCCTTATCCCACATTCCCATGAATGCTTCTCCTAGAAGGGGCTTTGTCTTTACTCTTCTTGCTTGCCACTATATCCATTTGAAGATGTAGCAATGGAATCTCTGTGAGGGATGAGGTAACTTCCTCTCTAAAAGTATTTTGATTGCACTGGGGTTTTGGTCATGTGGTTAATCTCCATTGCTCTCTCTCTCTCTCTCTGCCTTTGTCTCCTTTCCAATGAGGACGCATTTTGCCTTTCTCCAGGCAAAATGTAGCTGCATGGATATTGTGCAACTATCTCCTCCCCCTTTGAAGATGTAGCAATGGAATCTCTGTGAGCAATGAAGTAACTTCCTCTTTAAAGGTATTTTTATTGCCCTGGGTTTTTGGCCATTGCTCCCCCTCTGCCTTTGTCTCCCTTCCAGTGAGGACGCATTAAGTCTTTTTCTAGGCAAAATGTAGCTGCATGGATACTTTTGGAAGTATCAGGAAGTATTTTTGTGTGCCAAAAGCCTGCAAAACTTGGCCTCAGTGGGACAAGGCACCTGCTTACTTGTGAGGCAGACAACGAGGGTGATGCAGACGTCTTGGATGAGGTACTGGTAGTTCCCAAAGATCTGTAGTTGCTGTTTTGCAAAAACAAATGTCATTAGAAGGAGTCCCACAAAGGCCTGTTTTACAATCATAGAGCTGCAAGAGACCACATGGTCCAACTAGTCCAACCCCTGGACATGCAGGAAAAGCACAATCCAAGCACTCCTGATGGATGGCTATCCAGCCTCTGTTTTGCAGCTCTTAACAATTGCTTGATTGATATGAAGCAATTCTTAAGGGCCCTCTAGTGGTGCAGTGGGTTAAACTGCTGAATTGCTGAACTTGCTGACCAAAAGGTTGGCGGTTCAAATATGGGGAGAGTGGTGAGCTCCCACTGTTAGCCCCAGCTTCTGCTAACCTAGCAGTTTGAAAATATGCAAGTGTGAGGATGGTGTCGAGGGCCCCCGCCCAGTAATTGGTCTGCACTGCAGCGGAGAGTTCCGCAGTTCCTGGAAGCCAAAATTGGAAAAAACTGATGAAATGTGCCCCAACAGGCAGCTCCAACTAAGACTGCACTCAGCCTCTGTTACTTTCCCTCTAGCCCTGACTTTGTATCTA